GAACTGTCTAGTTGGTTAAGTTAAAAAAAAAAGAAATCAGGCCAGCTCATCATTAAGTTGGCTCTAAGTTCTCGTCTTAATTACACATTCAAAATAATTGATAGAGATTTTTATTCTTTGTCTTCAGAAAGGTCAGAACATTTGATTAAGAAGTGAAAAGTTCATGAAGTTTTCTGTGAATAAGTGCTTTTAGTCATTTGGATTCAGACAGCATAGTTCCAACATTTGAAGTCATTTGTGGCTTGTAACAGTTTCCCACAGAAGACAGAAGTTGGATTTGCTGGCAGGATACAAATTAGGTGTATCCCAAGGCGTTGCACTAAGTGAACCTAGTCCGGCATGCTGTAGGACCTGACCGTGTGCATCTTTTCCATAGGAAAAGCCATGTGTTTTTCTCTTATGGAAAGCTTGGGAGGTGAGCCCATTTTCTGGGCTCCAGCTCCTATTGAATAAGCTGGCCGTCTCTGTGCCTGAAATCGTTATTCCTCATGGCTAGTCACTATATATTATGCTAAAATATTTATGTGTCTATTATACTTTTAAAAAGTTGCTGAAAACAATTATCACATTCCAGATGCATGCCCTTTTGAGGTTGAATATTAATGAATAAATGAGATAGAATGTGTTAAATTTGTAGCCTGTCCAGTGCCCGGTGAATGGTAGGCTCTCCTTAAATATTATTATCATAAGGATTGTTTGGTAAGCCTACGATGAATTGTCCCTATGTGATAAATGATACGGTGACCGCATCTGGAATGCATTGGTGGGCTTTGAAATGCTCATTACCGAGGATGAAAGTGCCTTGTTTTCTGCCCTTTTCAGAGCATCTTCAAAGTAGTTAATGGCTCACAAAAGTTTTAACACATCTGTCAACTTGTCACTTGTTTTTTTTTGTTGTTGTTTTGTTTTGTTTTATCATACTTGAGTTTCCTTTTTTTGCTCATTGCTTTAAAAAGTATGTGGTTTACAACTATTTTAAATTATAATATATATTTCCCAATGCATTGCATTGCTTTAAATGGTTATTTCCTAACACCATTCAGCATGCCTGCGGTGACATGCTCAGCTGGAGTGACAGTGTCAAAGTAGGAGCATGCAAAAAAAAAAATGGAGCACTTAATTGGAATTTCACAGTGATTTCCACATAAACCAGCTTAAACAAGGTGTATTTATGTATAGAAATCAGGAGTTGACTAATCTCCTGTGTAAATATATGGGTGTTAAAGAGGTGATTTAAAATGGTGAAGAAAGTCTACACAATAGGACTTGAAGCCTGGTCGTGTGACATGTAGTTCTTTAGCTGCTGGAATTGTTACTGTAGCTAGCATGTCATTTTGATTACAGCTTTACTAATATTAAGTGGGTAATAAACTGTAATATAACAAACTGTTCAATTACAACTCCTTTTCTGGCTAAATTTAACACTAAGATATAAATCTCAGAACCTCATTTATTACAAATGAATTTAATCGATTGCTTGTCTCAAATGAACCATCATTTTTTACTCTTTATTTTTCCATTTTTAGGGCTATAGGGTTAGCCTGAGACACATGTCGGCTAGGGTAATAAAATTTGTATTTTGTACATATCCTGCATCATTATTTTAATAGTATCAGTAGTACTACCCTGGGCAATATGGCTCAGTAGTTAGAGCATCGGCCTGCAGACCAAAGGGTCTCGGGTTCCACTCCTGGTCAAGGGCACATACCTGGGTTGCAGGTTCAATCCCTAACCCCGGCTGGGGCACGTGTGTGAGGCAACTGTGTCTCTTTCACATGATGTTTCTCTCTCTCACTCTCTCCCCCTACCTCTTTTCCACTCTCTCTAAAAATCAATGGAAAAAATATTCTTGGGTGAGGATTAACAACAACAAAAAGTAGTATCAGTAGTACTTACTTAATATTGAGCAAAAATATTTTTATGTATTTCTAGCTATTATGATAAATGTTTAATTGTGTCTATGTAAGTGAAATATTGCTGAGTCTTTTTCTTTTATCTCAGTTTTTAAAATGTGAAATAGCATAAAAGTGATAATTATTTATAAATAATTAAATTAGCTAATAGATAAAATAACTTGAAAATAAACACAATGAAGCAACTTTTATGTACAGAATATATATTTTTAAGTATTTCATATATTCATAGAAATAACGGAAAATGTAACTAAATAATATCATGCTCTTGTAATACCATTTAAGATGTTAAATTGAAAAGAAATGACTTAGTATTACTATAATGGTCTATATTAGAATGATTTTTGATAATAATGAAATTTAAAGGTCCAGGCCAGTGTGGCTCAGTTGGTCAGAGTGTCGTCCCATACACCAAAAGGTTGTGGGTTTGATCCCTGGTCAGAGAGTGTATGGGAGGCAACCAATCGATGTTTCTCTCTCTCTCCCCCGCCTCTCTTCCTGTCCCTAGCTCCCTGTCTCTCCCTCTCCCTAAAGTCAGTAAGCGTGTCCTTACTTTTTTAAAGTTTAATTGAACTTTTTGCACACCAAAATAGGTATTTAAAAAAATTTTTTTTTTCTTTATTGATTTTAGAGAGAGAGGAAGGGAAAGGGAGAGAGAGATAGAAACATGGATGAGAAAGAGCATCAATTGGCCGCCTCCTGCATGCCCCCCACTGGGCATCGGGCCCACAACCTGGGCATATGCCCTGACTGGGAATTGCACCAGCGACCTCTTGGTTCATGGATTGACGCATAACCACTGAACCACATCGGCTGGGCCAAAATAGGTATTTTTTTGAATACTTTGCTTAGTTGCCATATTTTCAAAACAGCATTAAGACAAACATTTTCTTATTTGAAAATCTAGATATTAAAAATAAAATCAGCCCTGGCCGGTTTGGCGCAGCGGTTAGAGCGTCGACCTGCGGTCCTGAGAGACCCGGGTTCGGTTCCCGCTAAGGGCGCGTACCTCGGTTGCAGTTTGTCCCCGGCTCTGGTCGGTCGTGCGGGTGGCAGCCACTCGATGTGTTCCTTTCACGTCGATGTTTCTCTCTCTCTCTCTGTTCCTCTCTCTCCCTCCCACTCTACCTGAACAAAAATGGGAAAATGTCCTCGGGTGAGGATTAAAAAAAAAAAAAAATTAAAAAAAATAAATAAAATAAAATCAATATTGACTGATTTTCAGTATATTATAAAAAACAGTATATTATGATTAAGTTGCAATTTGAAGGCATTAAGGAACCTGAGACTATACAATTCTTATTGGGAAGGAGACTTATTTTGATATATCCTTCAAAGGCATTGGCGAAAATGAACACATATTCATCAATTGATTAAAATACAACTCTGAATTCTTAAAAGAAGGTATGTATTTGTAGAAAAATAATTTTGACTGCCCTGGCCAGTTTCTCAGTGGTTAGAGCATTGGCCCACGGACCGAAGAGTGTTAAGTGTGATTTCGATCAAGGGCACGTACCTCTGTTGCAATTCAGTCCCTGGCCCTGGTTGGGGTCATGTGGGAGACAACCATTCAATGTGTCTCTCTCACATAGATGTTTCTGTCTCTCTCCCTTCCACTCTGTCTGAAAAAAATCAATAGAAAAATATCCTCTGGTGAGGATTAAATAATAATACTAATAGTACTACTAATAATTTTTGACTATATATAATTGAGAAAAGAGTTGTTTTTGCATATGAAGGGAGAGTAATAAAAACATTTATTTTGAAGTCATATTTTAGACTTCAAGGTAATCTTATGGAAGATCCTGTATTTCAGGGTGTGTCAGGGGACAGAGTAAGGGTTAATTTCTGATCCTCATTCTTTACATAAGAAGATAGAAAGAAAAAGTCTAAAATCTATTGCTTAGATTTGCAGATCATTTATCCATTTTGTGAAAATGTATCGACTATTTAGAGTGTGCCAGGTATTCTGCTGGGTATGCTCTGGTGAAAGGAAATTGCCCACCTTCAGGAAATCTCACCCATATTTATAGTATATAAACCTCATTATACTAAAGCATATGGTATATTTAAGGTACTTGACTAAAGGCTGGCATATAGTAAGTGCTCAATAAAAAAGAGTTATTAATGTTCTATGACATCCTTTATAGATATTTTTCATCTACTGAGAAACAGAGTTTAAAATGTCTTTATTTACAAGCGTAATGATAATCAGCCCATGTGTATGTATTGAAAATATTAGGTACAGCATAGTTCAATAAAATGAGCAGAACAGAATTATATGGCAGCTCTTTATACTGTAAACATTAATGCTGTCAGGTTAACTAGATTTCTCTTGTGATAAAATGTTATTACTCTCCTCAAATACTTTTAAATATGTAGAAGTGATCAGAAAAACCAGATTTTGTTATGGAATTGCTCAGCAAAGTAACTTATAAACTTTGGAATCCAACTATATATTTCATAGAACCTTCTGAGATTAAACAGTAGAGTAATAGAATCTCTTTTAAAAATTAAGCCCAAGCGCTTAACATTCAAATTGTTTCTTGGCAAGTATTATATCTAGAGCTGCGCTATTCGATACAATAGCATCTAGCCACATGAGTCTACTTAAACCTAAAACAGTTTAAATTTGGAGTTCTATTACCCAGTCATACGAGCTACATTTCACGTGCTCACTAGTCCCGCGTGGCCAGTGCATGCTGGGACGGTGCAGATACAGCACACTTCTGTCACCACAGACAGTTCTCTTGCACAGTGTTGCTCCAGGTCCTAGAGTCTAGGATATTTTAAGTAAAGAAAATATTTGATGTATGATGTAAACTACTTATAATCATGACCACACAGAAACAGACTATTACATTTTGTTTTGATGATTCGTGTTTTTTCACCACATCTTCCAAACCCTGATTAGATTATTTGGCAAGGTCTTTGACAGATAAAGGCTACTTTAATTTTGGTAAAAGTGATAACTATGTAAAGGCTCAGAAAACGAAGGACTTTTGCTCAATGACTTTTGGGAAACTGGAATTTTGAATATTGTCTAAAAGAAATGGCTAATCAATGAGATCAATGCTTTCTCTGCAGCGCCTTCCAAACCTTTTTTCCTGACTGCCCCGCCATTCTACTCCGCGTGCTGCGGTGGGTCCTGTCGGCGCCCTGTATCCCCCACTGCTTTTCCAAGTAAGTTTTTATGCTTCATCAGCAATGCCTCAGTTATTCTGTAAACCAAAGCAGCAGGATTTAATGTGCTCTGGAAAACGAATTGGTAATGCAATGGCAAGGAGCTAATTCCTCACTAAAAATCACAGCGATCCTATTCAGGAGGCTTCCAGAGATTTATCAAACCTCAGCACACTGAGCAATTGTGAGTGGTTTCTAATGGCATTGAAACCCAGGGCCGACACTCCAAGGAAAGCGACTTGTTTTCCATTTGATATAAAAGATCTCAGAGGGACCAGTTTGGCTCTTTCTGAAATGTGTAGCAATACCCATTTAAAGAAGAAAAAAGGAAGGCTAAGAAATTGTGCTGTGTAAAATTTCCATTCAGCTTAAAATGTGACACAGAAAGGCACGAGGTGTCCATAGAAAATAATTAAAAAACGTTAAGATTATAAAAAGAAATTAATCCCTCCTCTTTGTGATCTTGAAGGAAACCAACCAGCATCCCCGGAGATATTTGCAAGAGAATTTGTCTTTTTAAATCTTACAAAATTTTAATGGAGTCCGAGGTTGAGCCAAAACGACAGCTTTCAGAAACTTACAGAGTGTGCACACACGTGCTCACAGATGCAAAGAAAAAAACCGTCTCACTAAAAGTCAGTAAGGTGCCTCTTGATCTCGGGATTTCTAAACTAGCTAGGAATCAGTAGGCAGAGAATTTGAATTTATGATGAAGTGCATTTATTTCAGCTGCCCACAGAAAAGCCTTTACGCAGGCTAACAACTCTGTCAGGTGAAAAGAAAAATAAGAGTCGAGGCGGGCTGAAGCCCTAGCTCCCGCGTGGTTGAATTCAGGTCCCTGCTGCCTGTCTGCGTGTGTTTTATGAATCTTTCAGGAGAGCCGTTGCTCAACAGAATGGTTCCTGACAAGTGAGGCAGCAAATGCTGGCCGTTTAATGAGCTGCAAGCTTGTGAGCGCCTCTTGAGGGGCCGCCACTTTCCCACAGAGCACTTTACATGGCTGGGACCCGGCCACAATGGGGGACAGAGCCGTGACCAATCGTCACTTTCACTTGACTCATCCACACGCGACCTCACCACGATTTTTCACTGTGCAGATGAACTTTAGGAACCATTTCACATGGAAAAGGCTTGGGCAAGGGTCAGTTGCCCTTTTGTATGGCCATAAAGCAAGGCTCTGTGTGCCAGTCTTTTCTCCTGTCTCACATTCCCAGTGAATTTCTGGACACCATTTAAAGCACTTGACTGAAAAATAAAGCAGTGAATGAAACTGACTTTTATAGACTCATTCTAGCTCATCTTCCCATATAGTCCTGTCCACCTGAAAAGGGGTTTAGTGGATGAGCTGAGTGTATACAGGACTTGCTGAATGCATAGGGCCCATTATCAACTGTGGGGATTGTTTATTAACCAGGACTGATACACTACTATTTTGGAAGTGACCTATTAATTGTCCATTTAACTAGAGTGTATTGATTCAAATAGAAAAATAGAAACCATGACTAAACCTTTTACTCGCTCCTTCAAGGTGGTCTCCCAGGAGGGCAATCGAAGACTATTGTGCAAATTAAGGAGACATTTATCACCATAGATTTGAGTATCAGGAAAGGACTGCTGGAGTAGAGACAACCCCCGCCCGTCTGATAGTGCAGCATAGTGGCATCTCTGTGGAATGAACTCCACAGTGTTGCATTCCAGGGGTGGAGATTAAAAGAGGCCTCACACCTTATTACAGTTACTTCGCCTCGATGTAATGCTGGTCTTCTGCTGTAGAAAAGCTCTGGCAATGGGGCTTAGGTGAGTGGAAAGGGACAGAATTCCATGTAATCCGTGGACGTTCATGTGTGTGTCGGTGGGTATTTGTATTCATTCCGTGGCAGTGTTTTAATAAGAGTCTCTAAATCACGAGTACTCTAGTGCCCAGGCCAGTTTAATCGAGCACTTACAAATAGTTCTAAAGGCGTTTCCCAGATAAGTTTATCTTCTCAATCGCGTGGAAGTTTACTTTGAGCAAGCCTCATTTTCTTCCGTCTTGTGCTGTTGGTGCAACTGTTTGTTGTGAATTGTGTGGCTCTCCGGAGTCTTATAAAGTCTCATGCTTATCTTCTTTATTTAACAAAGAGCTCAGATGGAGGGTAGAGAAGGCTGCACTGGGTTTGTTTTTATTTCCAAAGTTGGCATTTTAAAACAGTTTAGAGATGCCACAAGTGTTTTTAAACAACCTTTGGTGTCTCATTAGTTATAAATCTGAAATGAAGTCCTTGTTTTTTTATTTATAATGTTCGCTGTATTGGCAGCAAATAATAATGAAATGGTGGGTTTATGTTGTCAATAAAGACTTTTACGTAAATAACCATGCTGCCAAGGAACAGTTAATAAGGCTTATATCTGCATGGTAATCACTTTTATTTAAGGCATTTACTAGACTTTTATCCCCCCTTTTCTTCTCTTTTTAATAATAAGAACAATTTTTATGCCCAAACATTTAAATTTTTTTCCATTGTATGAAAGAAGGAAAATGAACTGTCCAAGTAATCTCGTATTACATTTCGTCTTGGACAGCCGAAATTAAGGTTTGTACTAAAGTGTTTAATAAGTGAGAAAATCAACAGCCCTAATTATTGTTTTGCAGTTTTGACTTCACTGTTTCCCAAAGTGTAGGATCAGATCAACATGCCTGAAACTAGCAAGTGAAGTATCCTTTTGACTCTTCTAACTGATTCAGTTGTTTATAGTTGATTTAGTTTTTCTTGTTAACTTTTAGATTTATGATGGACTTGTTGCAATGTGGAAACAATCATTCATCCAGTGCCCTTCCCACATATAATAAATAGTTTAATAGGCTATTTAAGCACAACCCTTACAGTGGGGGAAAATTAAAAGGCAGCGGTAAAAGTTCTCCCCTCCCTCAGAGCAGTGTAAGGAAAATCTTTGATATTGCATCCATACGGTTCTTTCAAAACAACACATTTCCCAGCCAAAAAGAAATGGAAAGTTTTGGAAAATCATGCAGAAAATGACCTTAAGAAAAACTACCTGAAAAAAGGACTGAAGTCTTAATTATGTAGAATAGCTCGTTGAATTCATCAGATAATTATTTTGTTTTGTCTTTGAGTACCCAACTTAAATGTGACCTTTTGGGAATTTATGTATGAACAGACGGAGTTTAACTTCGGAGCAGCAATGTAAAATTATGCACAGGGAGCTATCCGGGGTTAGCTGCTCTACCTTTTCCTTGGGAGATGACCTTAACAGTCTGCATTCGAGAACGCTGTACTTTCTTCCTGTCTTTGTGAAACTTAAAAGAATGTAATACACTCTCTAAATTTGAATTTAGGATTTTGTTGAAGGAGCAAGGAAGGGACATTATTGTTATTATTGTGCGTGAATGTTGGTTGTCCTTGAGTGTTGCTGTCAAAGAAGGGCAATGCTCTGGAATTTTTTTTTTTTTAATCCTCATCCTAGGATTTTTTTTTTTTTTTAATTGATTTTAGAGGGAGAGGGAGGGAGGGAGGGCGGGGAGAGAGAGAAACATTGATGTGAGAGAGGAACGTTGATCAGCTGCCTCCGTATGTGCCCTGACTGGAAATTGAACCTGCAGCCTTGCAGTGTACAGGACAACACTCCAACCAGCTGGTTAGTATTCCTGCCACCTGGCTTGGCTGTGCTCTCAGCTGGAGTGGCTGAGGAAACTGACAAGACCCGTGGACGTCCATTAAAGGCGGCATGGAAGTTGTTACAAGGATTTCTCTTCAATACTCTGATCTCTTCAGAGGGATGCACGTTGTGTTCAAGTAGAGAAAGCAGCCTAATTATTTTCTTGATAGCATAATTGGCCTTGTGTGATAAGTTGAATGTAGGTTTTGACTTCTCAGTAGTGAAGGCAGGGGTGCTCCATAGATAAATGACACTCGGTCAACCAGGAAGAGTGTTTAAAGGAGTCAGAGACCCAAAGACAATAGATTTTCCAAGTTGATGGCTCTATTCAGCATCTATTTCTACAGAGGCAGTGAAAGTATGTGAGTAATGTTCCTGGAATGGAGTTCCCTGCTCCCCAATGTTTGTAAGTAGTGGGCATGGGGGCTGGGGAAGGGAACTGCTCGATACAGGATGCTTGTCTCTGATCTTGTCTGCAGCCTTTGCCTGAACATAACATACAATCTAACAGGGCAGCAAATAAAAGTCCCGGTTTTAGATCCCCTCAAATGAATGCACAAGTGCAGAATAGGGGAGAGAGAGAATTGGACAAATAGAACAAAGTGGAAAGGGGTGGTACTGAGGTCAGCATGTGTCTGCAGAACGATGTGGGATGTTGAATTGTGCTTTTAGAAATAGAATATCCAGACCTGGGGAGATAGCAGTCCTCTGGGACTCTGTAAGGGTCAGCCTGCCTACACCTGTTCATTTCCGCAGGCCCACTTTAAAGGCACGGTGAACAGATTTGTGTATAAAAACCAGGCCAGGAGGTGGTCAGTGACTGAAATGGTGAAGGGGCTGTATGCCTGGTCAGGAACTTTCGAAAGCACTTGAGTATGTTTGGTCTGGAGAAGAGAAATAATAGGGAGAATGTGAGAGTTATCTTCAAATTAGATATGCTGTATTCATTATAGATATAAAGGAAAGACTTGGGGCCACATGAGTTGAGTTTAGTGGAAATGGAATTTGGGCTTACTATAAGAGAAATTGTTTTAGAAAATCAAACTGTATGTTAATGAGTCCAGCTGGTGTGGCTCAGTGGTTGAGCATCGACCCATGCACCAAGAGGTCGCTGGTTCGATTCCCGGTCAGGACACATGCCCAGGTTGTGGGCCTGATCCCCAGTGGGGGGCATGCAGGAGGCGGCCAGTCGATGTTCTCTCTCATCGATGTTTTTATCTCTCTCTCCCTCTCACTTCCTCTCTCTCTAAAATCAATAAAGGAAAAAAAGTTAAAAAAAAACTGTATGTTAATGAAATATTATTATACAGTATTCCCAAATACTAGATTATATAGCAAATGGA